ATATATATTTCTATCGAGTGTAATCGGTCTTTTCCATATCCAGGGTTTATTATATTACAGCATAGAGGCATCGGCTTTTTGGGACTGGCGCCTTCATATGTCGGGGATATAAGCTTCAAGTTTTACTGAACCCTATAACATTGGTACGTTATTTAAAACCGTATATATTGAGGCTATGCACACAAATCAACAAACACCATGAAAAAATAAATGTACAATTATACAATAAATACAAAAATATGAGTAAAGCTAGCTAAGTATATAAATAGAGACAGACAGTGAAAGAAAGGGAGATAGCAAACGAGTTATATATCTACGAAGATTATCCCAATCTATTTCCCAGAATCAGTATTCTGATGTTTGGTTCAATGACTCAACACCAGAATGCTGATTTTGGCAAGTGAGTAGAGCCGTGAACTTTTCAGCAACCCCATGTATATAGCCGATTATCTGAGCATTTATATCGTCTCGTACACGACCTGGCAATTATTTATCAATAAATCCGCTTTTACTTGAAACTGACCCAAATTAACTTACTTTTCAGTGTCAAAAGAAACAGTGGAAATGTTATACAAAATCTTCTGTGTCAAATAAAAATAAAAAAAAAAAACCTTGGCAACTTTTATTCAATAGCAGCTGAAACTACGATAATTTGAACAGCATTTGCAGATTTAGCAATAACATGACTTCAGCCACATAACAATTTGATTACTGAATTAATTATGAATTGTTGCTTTTCTTGTTTTATGTAACCGGCACAAATATTCCATACAAACTCAGATTTTTCAGTTAACTACCAGGGATTATTGAATGTAGGAAGGATTAAATAATCGTTATTTATTTATTTATTTATTTATTGTCATGCTAGTAATAAGTATTTAAGTTTGTCCGATTTCACTGGGATTATATATATATATATATGTGTGTGTGTGTGTGTGTGTGTGTGTGTGTGTGTGGATAGGATCCAAAAGCTTGTTTAAGAGATAATGTTCGGGGTTTATATACAAGAAACTGGTAATTAGTCATTTTACTAATTGTGACGCCTATATCAAGTAAATCATAGCACTAATATCAGATGATATTGGTTTAATCAGCACTTGGGTTTTAACCAAATTAAAATTCTATCCTAATAGATACAAGATAGAATAGGTTATTTTGGTCATAAGAGAATTTTAAATCAGAGTGAAATATTTTTCCTCTTATAAAATAAAAATATTATTCTTTTTCGGATTCATGATCAGTAATTTTATTTTTAAATTATTTTGGATGTTTCTATGTATTTTTGAGTTGAAAGACTTCAAAAATTGTAAACAAATGAAATGGGAAAATAATATTCTTCAATGTGTAGAAATAGTTGCAAATTTTTCTGAATTGAGAAAAATTTGCAGAATGGTTTAGCGGCTAGTAGTAATAATCTAAAAACTTCATTATAATTATGTCATTATTTTATGTTAAAAATTTTAATGGCTATCGCACTTTTTAGAAATTGTTCCATAAGATTTGGTTACCAAGGTACAGAGGAAATATCCTATCATTGTTCAAATTCTAAACTAGAAAGAAAAGTTAATTTTAAAAGCAGAATTACATACGCCTTTTTATTAGATAATATATATATATAAGTATAGTCGTGCGCGTGCGTGTTTGTGTGTGTAATGCGAATATATTGTATAGAAAAACAAGAAAATCCTATATTGTAGAGAAAAATCTTTCTTTATATGCCTATATATTTCTATATTGCCATCAGTACTCATAATCATAATTATTGCAAATAAACCCTCAATAATTTTAATAGAATTTAAAATTGCGCTTTACTTCCATTTTTTGAGGTGTATGTAACTGAATTTTTGTGGATATAAGCAATGTAAACAGCCATATTAATTGAGTTATTCATAGAAAGCCATGTCTGATATGAAAAATGTTTATGGTTTTAGTTAATGTAGTTTCAGTTGTCGGTGAGTCTTTTGATCTCTAGCAACTTCATTTTCCTCTTTTGAAAGAGCTGATTGTCATAGATTTAGTTAGATGAGCTGACAGATATCACAATGGGATCTAAAATAAAGTGTTTTTGTTCAATTTGTACATTTTTGTTTTCACCCCAAGTAAGGCGGGAAGCCACAAGTACGCAAAAGGGTTACAGAGAGTAGGAGCGAGAGCAAAGAGGAGTGATAGAGGAAATGATGAAAAGAAGGATAGGGAATAGATCTGGAAATGTCAATTGACATTACATTCGAATAGTTGGGGATTATAGCTATCAGGGAAACAGGAAAAGGGGAGGGAGTTCCACAGGCGAGAAGTGCGAGACATGAAGCTATTGGAGTAGAAGAGACGGCTACATTTAACATTTTCGACAGAGAAAGGGTGAGAGCGAGATGCCAGCCTAGTTGAACACTTCAATTCATGAAGTCTTGGAACCAGCGAAAGCAGCTCATCGGAGCAGTTACCATAAAAGTATTTGTAAAAAAGACAAGGGGAGGCGACGGCACGTCTGTGATGCAGACGAAATGCCAGATCAGGGACAATTATATTGCATATCCGTCTCTGGATTTTATCAAGGACCTTGAGACAAAAAGAAGGGGCTCCAGACCATATATGGCAGCAATACTCCATGCAAGGGCGAATGGTTGATTTCTAGATTTCCTTGTGGTGGACGAAGGTATTGACTCAATGTATTTGTTCCATGTCAGCAGTCAATGTGAGACCGAGCAGTCGCAAAGAGGTGCTCCCGTGGAGTTGAGCGTCAAACATTCTAATGGGGGGAGGGGCAGGGATGGTTCTCTGTGGTGATTAATAGAGAGCAGTTTTGTTTTTGAGGCATTAAAGTTAACCAGCCAGTTCCTGCCCCAGTCCACAACCGATTGGAGGTCCTTTTCGAGACAAACGGCCAGGTTAGTTTTGTCAGTGACACTAGATTTGTTTTTGAGGCAGAAGTAAATAGTAGTGTCGTCCGCGTAGATGCTTATTTGGGAATCTATGATGTCAGGAAGATCGTTAATGAAGATAAGGAACAGAGTAGGGCCTAGGAGAGAGCCTTGGGGAACATCTACGTTCGTGAGATAGGAGCTGGAGGAGAATCCGTTGAGAACGACCTTCAATACAAGTTTTGACATGAATAATTTTATTGACAAACAAACGACCTGAAATTTCATAACCCTGAAGCTAGCGAAGAAGGCCGGCATGCCAAACCCTATCAAACACTTTGGAGTTATCTAGAGGCACAGCACGAGCTTCTCCGTTATTATGAAGTGCTTGGCAAACAATTTCAGTTATGGCCGTAAGCACATCAGCTGTAAAACGGGCAAAGCGGAAACCATATTGTTTGTCGGAGAGCAAATCATAGAATGTAAGGTGCTTAACCACTTCGACATTGATTAAAGCTTCGAAGACTTTGCCGAAGAGGGGTAGGAGACTGATAGGACGGTAATTAGAAGGGTCAGAAGGGTCTCCAGAGTTCTTAAAGACGGGAACAATGGATGAGGACTTCCAACAGTATGGAAAACAAGATTCACTGAGACAGTAGTTATATAATTTGGAGAAGGCAGAGGCCAGTTCAGGCCCATATTTCTTCAGGACAATGACTGGTATTCCGTCTCCACCACTAGCCTTGTCGGTGTCTAATTTAGAGATAATACCCAATACCGATGACGGGGTTATGTGAAGCTTGCTCAATAGAGCCTCAGTTCTAAGGGGGAAATCGGGTGTGGGTACACCGGAAGAGTCGAGCGTTGAATTCAATGAGAATTTCCGAGCAAAGCATTCAGCCTTGTCGGCAGAAGAGGCCAGAACCTTGAACTGGTTGAACAAAGGATGTATAGAGGGTTTTCTATTGTTAAGTACGCTCTTGCAGAGACGCCATAAATCCTTGGAGCTGAATTGCGAGATGCAATACGTTCTTTCATTCGAGCAGCAAATAGCGACTTTTCTTCATTGAGGACACGCTTACACTCGTTACGGGCAGAGACAGAGACGTCTATTGTAGTCAGACATGTCGCTACGATATAGGTGGAAGAGGTGATTCCTATGAGCAATTGCAGCTGAGCAAACAGCGGAGAACCAAGGAGGAGCGCGATTTGACCTTATATTTCCTTGAGGGGATGAAAGCCTCGATTCCAACTTTAACCTAGGAGGACACCTCGGAAGCACATTCTTGAACAGGGAGCGTAAAGACAGCATCCCAGGGGACATCGCGAAGGAAATCTCGGAACGAGTCCCAGTCTGCTCGTTGATAGCAGAACGAGGTTCTAGTGATAAGAGGTTCTTTGCAGGGGGTGGAGTTGAAGGAGATGTTGACAGCATGATCGGAGTTGCCAAGATGGAGAGCTGCGTGGCGCTACAGGACTCGGGGATGGAGATAAAACATAAATCGAGAAGAGAAGTCCAAGTTGTAGGGAAAACGTGTGGGGAAGTCAACTGAACACAGACTGGATTTACATTCAGCCAATGAAAAGATAATTTTAAATTCTGCAACAAAATCCAATAAATTAAATAATCGATAGACCAAAGTTTGAGTTTGGAAAAAATGACTTTCAGGGTGAGTTACTAGAATTGTGTGATGATTCAGTTAACTTTGTGCTCGATGGAAAAGCTTTTCTTTGTTGTGCGAAAATGTTTGTACGTCTAAAGAATGTGTAGAAAAAGGTTTTTATTTTATTTTAGTTGGCTATAAATGAATAATTTCCCTCGAGTGTTTCTAAAATCCTTTACAAAAAAGGAGTATATAAAATGCTCAAATTCCTAGCGAATTAACCAGTCATACCAGCGAGTGAAATAAATCTATGAATTTAATAATTAGTATTTGTGGATTGGACACCCCACATTTATTGAATTCAAAAGAAAGAATATTAATTTCTTTTATTACGGTTTATAAACCTGAATATGATGTTGTGATGATGACAAAAACATCTCACTGAATGAGTTCAACAGTCCGAATAATTAATTAAAAGTGAAGAATGCATTAAAATATTTTACAATCTCTCATGAATATCGGAAATAATTACGCTTACCTTCAATGAGGTGGGTTACAAGGTCTGAAGTTCTGAAATCGTATTTTAGTCTGATGTGAAGTTTTCCACAACTTCTTTCCTCAGAAGATTGCTGCAAAACAGTGTCCTTTCTTGGATATAAATCGGGTCGAATTGTACCTGAAAAATATTCAAAATAGTTTCTAATAAATCATGTAGAAACATTTTTTGTACGGTGTTATTTTAGATTAGATTATTCTAATAAGGCTGAAACGGAACTGGTTAAAAAAGTTGGAGGAGTTATGATTATAAGATCCCAGAGGAAATAAATAATAATAATAACAACAACAACAACGACGACGACGACGATGACATATGTGCACTTGAAGCTATGTAAGAAGCAAAAAATCGAAACCAATGAGAGATGGTCTGAGCACCAACCAGACACAGTTACCCAAAATAACGATATAACTATCCTCTGGGACATGCCAATTCAAACTGACAGAGAAATAAATGCCAACAGATCTGATATCATCATAAAAGACAAAAAATCCAGGAAGTGTATGCATATTGACACAGTAGTACCATTTGAGAGAAACACCTCCATGAAAATTATCGAGAAATTGTCCAAAATACAAGGACCTGGAGATCGAGATTAACAGGATGTGGGGAATGAAGACTGAGACTGTACCAATAGTAATCGGAGCACTGGGCCTCGTGAGAAAAGGAGTGGACAACTTTACTAATAGTGTCCCATGTAATATCAACAGACAAGTTGCCCAGAAAATCGCACTACAATGTACTAAGAAATCCCATATATATATATTTTTTTTACTCTGGCAGAGGACACAAGAGCAACTAAAGAGGATCGAACTCATTGCCGTATCTTTGAAACGACTGTTTTAAAGCTCTTCATATATTGGGAAAATACCAAACAAACCGATTATGCTATTCGTATTAAATGTTTATATGTGGCGATAACATACAAATCTAAGGCTATCAAGAAGAGGAAGAAGAAGAGTTTGTATTTGTAAGTTTCGTTTGCTATTTTTTTGTCACGAAGGTTCAATAATCACGTGTAGTTGATATTTTATTCATTTCAAACTAAACGGAAAAGCAACAGCAATGTGACTTCTTTTCTTTTAGATGATCATGGCCCTCCCCAACTTCTTATTCTTTGTTGCCTTAAGAAATATTTTACCCATTACCATACTTTGTCCTATTCTCTCGTCCATTCATACAGATTCGTTAAGAAGCTTACTGTCTGTTGACCTGCTTCTATGGACTTCAGCATGTCCTGTAAGTGTTAAATTCACTTGGTCCTCTTTCCTCTTTATGTGTCCCAGAAATTTCAGCTCTCACTTTTTAATTGTAAATATAACTTAACCCGTTGTTCCTATTTTCTGAAAACTTTCTCATTGAGCATATATTCTGTTTATGGTATTCTTAGCATTTCTGTTACGTCAAGTCTCTTCATTTTGGGCGAGGAAATTGTCCAGCATTCACTGCTATAAAGGGGATTATATATTAGGTAGGATTTCAACACTCTTTCTTTGTTTCTAACAATATTTCCTATGTTTTACTTTCTGGAAGATATCTTTACCTATTCCATTTCGTCTTCGGATTTCCGTGTAACATTTTTTCGTTTTCTGCTACTAAACTCTCCAAATTTCTGTACCTGTTTTGACATCTCCGCATACGCGTCTGTTTACATTTGCGACACTAGGATCATTGACCAAGATGTATTTGCAAAAAGATTTTATTTCCTCAGTATAACCATCTATACGGTATGGAAATAACCAATTGTACAAGTGTTAGGTCGAATTATTCCAATGGATATCGTGGCACTAAATGTGAAAACTTCGCACTTCTTCGCATAAAAATGCCACTAAACTGCAACGATGCAAAGATAACTTGGTAAAAAGATAAAACAAAAGAATGAGAAAGGAAATGAAGCGAAAAATAATACTTAGTGATATTTCATAAACAATATAAATGATATCCATGTTTTATAGATTCATGTGTTAAAAGCTTTAGACGTATATGAACTCACCGAAAGAGGCATCAAATGCGGAACTGTCGATGCTGGTATCGCTTCGAGCGCTGATGCTGCTTGTTTCATCGGTCAGTTGGTCACTTTTGGTGCTAGTACGTGACACAGTTGACATTGATGATGACCTTGGCTGAACCGTCTTCGATTCTTTCACCAGCTGCACTTCCTTTAACCGATATAGAAAAAAAAAGCAAGTAAAAAAATTGAATTAAATTTTCTTTGTATCAATTCATAAAATTATAAGTAGAAATTTGCAAGTTGGAAAATTTTCTAACGCTACAAAACATAAACCTAACTTGAAAAAGAGGAGACATTTTGAAATTAATTTTCAAAAGAAAAACTCTTAAGCGGGCAGCTTTTTGATTAACTCTCATCAAAGAGGTTCGTTGTTAAATTTTAAAATATTAAACCATAAAACAAAATTACCATTAACAGCGAGGTAAAATAGTTTAAAAGTAGATTTTATCTGTCCTCTCACAGAAAAAAGCACAAACATAACACATTCAGTGAGCTAAATTAGGTTACGCCAGGTAACTTCAATGAGTAAATTAAGTTGGCCAACAGTCTCCTGCGATTTTTTTTCTATGAGAGGGCAAAGTTTTACTTTTAAAGCATTTTATCTTGTTTTTAACCATAATTATGTTTATGTTTTAACGTTTTATAATTTATCACTCATCCTCTTTGATGAGGAGCTAGCCTTTTAAAGAGAAAAGCTGGGAATATCAACTGACATAATTATCGATTCTTATAAAAACAATGAAAACTTGTTTTCAGTATAAGAACGGAAGATATTGTTATTTTTTCTTCTAATAAAGAGGAAGAAAAATGTTTTCTGTGATGAATGACTCTGGACAAAAATTTATTGTTCTTTTTCATAACTCTTTTCCAACTGATTTTTGCTTTTTATATGTTTACTGCTTTCTCTTGTTTTTTTATTCCATGCTTTCTTATCACTATATTTTATTGAAACAAATCTTCTATTCATTCGAAATAAAAGCCAGAAGAACTTCTTATAGATGCATACGTACATATGTTATACTGAGAAAATTGAACAAGATTTCAGAGAAAAGAGGAAGAATGGAAAAAAAACACAAAGCCCATGGGGAATCTATGATATTTTTTTTTTTTAATGTAACATTTATTTGAAAAAATGATAATTCAATATTTTCCTTAATAATGTCATATTTTATATCTTCCTGTCAACTGAGCATCACGTGTTTTTATTAAAGTTACTGTGAATATATTGGTTATCCAGAAGATTGAAGTTATTAAAGTTGTGCTTTAATAAAAGGTAAAATAACTGTGTACACATAAAAAAAAAGGTAATGGAAACCCCTCGCATAGGAATAAAAAGACTTTATATACTAACACGTAGATTACGAGTATTGTTTAACCCATCAAATATAAATGATTCATTCAAGTTGCTTCATTCTTTTTACTGACATTTTCTGTTTGTACAATAAACGTGAACTTTTGTCTTAAATTTTTTTTTGAAAACAAAAAACGAGATTCTTTAAAATTGACTCTCCACGTATTTTGGTTAGTTTATCACTACGATTTGAATGTCGACTACATTTTTTTTAAGATAATCTATCGAAAAGAATATAAGGATGTTGAAAGGTTTTCGACTAAACCAAGAAGGGATTTCAAAACAAATTTTGACGTTAGCTAATTTACAATCTACATTTAATATCTCCAAATAAACAAGCCATTATACCAACAAAAATTTTATACACATCTCATATATTTTCATAATCAAATGCATTCTTGCATAGATATAACAAGGAAAGTAGCACTTAGATACATATAAATAAACCTCTATTGACATATAAAAATATTTGAAAATTAGTCTTTTTTTTTTTGACAATGGTGTTCATCCTGTACAAGGCCCAATAGCCACTCGAGGTAGAGGGTTACAGAGTAAGAGACAGTTTATGGGAATAGCCTCTAAAAACTTTGGCTCTCGTGACTACTGTCGTTTCTGTAATATTCTCCCCTCTTCAAACGATTTGAGACGTTATCCTTTTTTGCTGATAAAGCTGAATGCTTTGCCCGTAAATTCTCCCCAAACTCTACTCTTGACTCACCTGGAGTATCCCTGCTAACTTAGAACTGATTCTCTGCTGAGTAATATGCATATAGCCCCTTCCATGGTCTCTGCTATCATCTCTAACCTGGACCCCCACAAAGCATGTGGACCCAATGGTATCCCTGTAATAGTCATTAAGAAGTGTGCTCCCGAACTGGCTCCTGTTCTCTTTAAACTGTATAATAAATGCCTCCTTGCCTCCTGCTTTTCTGCCTGCTGAAAGTCATCGTATGTTTTTCCAGTTTTTAAGAATTCTGGTGAACCGTCCGACCATTTAACTATCGGCCTATTAGCATTGTACTCTTTTTTGGGAACTTCTAGAGGCTTTAATCAATGCTGAATTGATTCATCATATCTCATCGCAGGGCCTTTTCTCAGACAAGAAATGTGGTATTCATGTCACCAGATCAACTGACGATAATTTTGAAAAAAGTATATAATGCTCTAGATAAAAACGTTGAAGCCTGGTCTGTAGCTTTGGACATCTCGAAAGCCTTTGACGGGGTCTGGCATTCAGGTCTTTTCCACAAGCTGAAAAATTACGGTATCTCTGGGTACATTTTTGAGCTGACTCAGTCGTTCCTATCAAATGGTGAAATGAAATTTGTCTTGAACGGCCACTCGTCTACATCCTTTCGTACTAAAGCGGGTGTCAGCCAGGATTCAATCCTTTGTCAACTTGGCATCTACGCTGGCGAATAACCATTTACTCCTGTCTCGATATTAAGGCTGATCAGTCCGACAAGGCCAAAATGGCGGTTGATGCATAAAACGCTCTCAAGAAAATAGTTAACGAGGGCAAAAGATGGCTTGTCAATGCCTCCAAAACTAAACTTCTCTCTATTTATCATCTGAGAGACCTCCTCTCTGCCTTCCATCAGCATGGCTAATGCTATCCTACAGGAAAATGACTTGTGGCGCCTTCTCTGGCTAACGTTCGCAGCTGACATGAAATAGAAAATACTATATTGAATCTATTGCTAAGAAATTCGGTTCATTGTGTCGGTCGAGACAATTTTTCTCTTCTGACTCTGTCTTTCAGTCTACCATTCGTCCATGCTTAGAATATTGCTGCCATATATGGTCCGGTGCCTCTGCGATTTACCTGGAGCTCACCTGATAAGATCCAAAGAAGAATCAGCAATATTATTGGTCCTGATCTGGCGACTCGGCTTCAGTCACTTGCCCACTGACATAAGGTTGCCTCTCTGTACCTTTTTTATAAATACTTTCATGGTAACTTTTCGAATAAGCTCTTTCCTTTGCTAGACTGCATGAATTTGAGCGCAATCCTAGACTGGCGGCGAGATCTCATCAGTTTACAGTTGAGCTTTCATGTAGCTGTAATTTGTATGATTACAGTCTTTTACCTCGTACTTTTCCCTTGTGGAACTCCCTTCTGTCTCCATGCTTTCCAGCCAACTTTAATCTGCAAGACTTTAAATACAATGACAATCGCTATCTACTGTCCTCCTGAATGCTCTTTTCTAATCATTACTAATGTTTCTCTTCCTAAGTCCTCCTCCACACTCTGTAGCCCTTTGCATATTAGTGGCTGTACCGCTTTGTTGGAGGTGACACTGATTTAAAATGTACAATAAAATTAAAGAGAAAGACCTTGGTTGAATTTAACAAAACCTGTTTAGGTAACATCAACCAACGAAATGGCAATTTTTAATTGTATACACACACACACACACACTTATATATATATATATATATATATATATATATATATATATATATATATATATATATATATATATATATATTAGAGAGTGAGAGAGAATTAATGTGAGTAAAGGTATGTCACTGAGCTGACTGATGCCACCTTCAGCATCCCGACACTATAGTTTCGTAGACGGACATGTTCGTCCACTCTTCAGTGGGGTATCGACAATTTACTGCTTATATTTTTCGATTTTTTCCTTTCATGCATATTTAACACTGGTATAAGTTTTCTTCTGCGTTCTCTGTGTGCGCTTACGCGCGTGTGCGGCCATGCGCGCGTCTCTGTCCGTGTGCGTTCGCTCGCCCGTTTTCGTGGATTTACGTGCAGGAAGACGTCATCATTTTGCTCTTAGTTTTTGTTTTGTTTTTTTCACTTTACACTCGCTCATTTGGCCTTCTTTTTTTTCCTATTTTTTTTCCTTTTTCCAACTGTAGCTGATTTTCTCTGGGTTTTTAGCCATTATCACGGATGATTTTATTTTTTTCAGTTTGAGTGTGTGCTTTATATGTATATTTTTAGTGTTATAGAGATGTTTTATTTTCCGAACACAGTACATTGCGGCCTTGTTCGTAGTTAATATTGTTAAGTGTTGGCTTTTTCTTTTAGTATTATTAGGGCTTCCACTATTTTTAATCTTTTTTACAAGTGGATGAGGTTATCATGTTTGTGTTTTCTACTAGTATGTTTCGGATGCTAAGTTTGTGTGTTCTATTAGAGCTATGGTCAGATGTGCTCGGAAAATAAAATATATCTATAATACTAAAAACATACATATAACGTACACACTCAATTAAACTGAAAAAATAAAATCATCAAACGGCTAAAAGTATAGCCGAAAGCGCTCGGAATTATAAAACATTTGGACAGTTTCTATACACTCCATGTCCAAAAAAAGAAAGCACTTGTTCGAACACAAGAAAAATTAAATAAAAAGCTTAATCTTAGTACTTTGTCTCTCGTTTTTAATGAAACATGCATAAATGAAGGATTGCTGCCTAAATACATAATATGCATACATGCACACATACGCATATATCTAAGTGACCTCACTGGGCTATTATTTCGTTTTTTAATTTAGTTTGGTGGTACCATAAGTATTAATTGTAGGAGGTTAGATTTATGATTAAATTTAAATAGTATTGTTAGAATTTAAGTACATTTGTCTGTGTTCAGAGTACAACACAAGTATGTGCGCATTTGTTTATCGTGTGTGTGTTTACATGTATGCGCGGTATGCACACACAGTGCTCCACGTAATTTGTTTTACAACTGAGCACATCAATAGAGTGTAATTTATTGCTATTTGCAAGTATTTCTAACTGAAGAAGAAGAATCAAAGTTTTAAGCAAGATCCATTTTCCCGCTTTTATTCTCAAAATACAAATACTCAAAACAAAACTCAGTAAACATCCGAGGTTAAGTTTTTTTTTAACCGTGAATTTTATTTATTTTTTCATTTTTTGTCTTTTAGAAAATATAGACTTAACATTGTTCCTGCTCCAGTATCGGATTGACACATGCTCATTGGAAACACAGCGGCTATGAAGGTTGGAGAGAATGCAGATTTTGTCTTCATTTATTGTCTGTCAGCTGTCACGTTATGTCCTATTCAACTATTTTCTCTTCGTCTACAACCAGCTGCCACCGCCAGTGACTAACAAATGCACCATGTGGCTGTGGCCGTTTGGTTGCATCACGCGTATCAAAAGGTGCATCTGTGCACAAGTGCAACGTTTTTTGTTTGTGTGCGTACATATGTATATAAAGATTTAAGCGTCAAAACTGTCAACCGGAAGAAGAGAAAGCAAACGGAAATCTTAATTGATAAACACTTTCTATTAACGCATATTCTAGAGGAAGTTTATCAAATCAAGAGAAAGCGTGTCCAAAGTGGATTTTATATATAAAGACAAACCTCTCCTCAAAAGACTAATAGATTTCTCACAGCGACTTACTCACGCACGCGCTAATGTATCGTACTTTATATACTGCACACTCGTCTTTGTTTACACTTGAAAGGCCCGCCACCGCCGTCAAGCGGTCACTTTGAGAACTAATACGACTCGTTCCGCTGACGATTTGGAAGTTTTTTTTGTTTTTTTTTTTTTTCTGCAGATTTTTTAAAATTTTGAATGTAGATTTTGTACGTTGCATCCGAAAGTCCGTTGATGGGGTCCGTAGATGAGAGGTTTGTCTATATATATATATATATATATATATATATATATATATATATATATATATATATATACAGAGAGAGAGAGAGAAAGAGAGAGAGAGGGAGGGTGTGAGAGAGAGAGAGACAGGGGGTTTAGGGCATGTGTTAAGGTATCCTAGTCTCTTTTCTGTCTAGACCAACAAATGTAATCGTCATATACAAGGTACTCACTCGCTAGTAATTGTTTCTGAGATTGACAAACTAAAAAAAAGTATAGGACAGTCTACTTAAAACGTGTATTATTCAGTGTACTTTGCCATAGAAATTGAAAAAAAAGACAAATAAAAGCGTTAAACAGACCAGACAATATACGAAAATAAAACCAGAATTCCACTGTACATTAAGCATTTTTTAAAATAATTATTCATCTTAAATATGTCTGAAAAGAATCTCTGAAAGACGAAAAGTTTAAAATATTGCACGAAAATACATTCAAGGATATAAAAGTAAAAACCTAATCTTTGCTGTTTTAGTATAGCATAAAGTCATGCGTTTTGGTCTAAACTGGATTCGTCTTTTTTTTTCTTTTTTTTTTTTTCCTTATAAAAGTTTTGAAATTCCTTTTCCTTGTAAATTACAATAACTTTCATTTCGTTGATAGGAGCAGCTGTAGAAAATATACTCTCTCTCTCTCTCTCTCTCTCTCTCTCATATATATATATATATACACACACACACACACACACACACACATAGGGTGATTGAAAAGTAACTCCCTATTTTATGTATGATGGACTCTCCCGTCTTGTAAAAATTATAGTAAGACGGGAGAGTCCATCATACGTAAAGTAGGGAGTTATTTTTCAATAATCTTGTATATGTATGTCTCTGGCATAAGCAGAATTCAATTCGAATCAAGAAATAATTTCTACAGTGTTGTCTGTGTTATAATGTGACCCCGTCTTTTATCAGACATCGCTTATCAAAATTGGATCCTGTCACTAAACAAGCCTTTATTAAAAAGCTGGAGTTGGAAAATCTTTCAAATTGCTTGCGGTGCTATCGCGCTTCTCTTGTTGCTGTTAGGGACACTTTATTATTCTATGATTTTTCCCGTTTTTCACACTATTTGTCATCAGGACATTTATTTTTTGGTCAATTGTCTCGTTTCCAAAAGACATGCTACTGAAAATGGAGTTTTGAATAAACATTTGTTCATTTTCTCTCGTGTTGCATTTACAGAGATTGAATGTTTGGTACTCTCGAGAGGCTTTAAATTTTGTATTCCTCTTACTGGGATTAGTAAGGAAAAGGTATTTGCTGCGCTTGATTAATATAAATTTACATAAACCTACCTCGACTGATAAATTGTTCTCATGCAGGACTAGATTGTGATGTTGCATGTGAATATTCATCTCTTCCTATTGAGCAGGATATATATATATATATATATATATATATATATATATATATATATATATATATATAACGAAATGCAATAGTAGTTGGTAAGGTCCATTATCTGACTATTAAGTTGTTGAAAACCAGGGATGATATTTACCTCACTAAACTTGAAAAAGTGGGGTCTGGAGTTGTTGTTTTGGACAAGCAGGACTAAATTACTAAGTTGGAAATTATCTTGCTGGTTCTAAATTTTGTAAGATTGGTTCTGTTGGTTCATATGAGTCAGTGATTGGACTATGACGGATTATGCTTCTGAATATGATGGAGGACTATTTAGGGTGCTGCATAAGGGGGTAAGCATTTACAGCTTTTAGAAGCTGTTTATGAATCTTTCTGACGAAGTGTTGGGAAAAAATGTTCGCTTTAAAAGAATGCGTCCCGTCATTATATTTTATATTTTCTTCATATATATATATATATATATATATATATATATATATATATATAACGAGAGGTAATAGAAGTTGGTAAGATCTAGCTGTAGTCAAACTGATAAAAGGAGATTCTATAAAATGTAAGAAATATATTCAGAGCTAAGTTGAAGGCCAGGTTTGTCGTACAGGCTTTAAATATAGAGAATTCTTTTTTTGTTTTGTTTTTTTATTTTATCATCCAGAAGTGAATATTATCCGGGTTCCATAGAAGATATTAAATACGTTGTTGTGTCTTAAGCATTTTGTCTTATTGTTGTTGTGTTTTAAGCATTTTTGTCTTATTTAATAGATAAACTGGATATGTAAACATCAATATTTCTATCTTCTCCTCCTGGCATAATTTACAAAATTTCGACCCCTACCCATCCCATATAACTCTTATAGCTCAGGGACATATTCTATTTCTCCCTATCTTCCTCCGTGCTTTTTGTGTGAATACTCAGTCCTCTTCTGTTCAAAATTGTTGCAGCGTTCCCAAATCAACCTTCTCCAGTCAGGTCTACGTCCAACAACAGTTTCTCAGTTTTCAACATTAACGCCAAGAGTCTTTAAGTTACATTTAACTACACCCTTGAAACATTTTTTGAGCTCATGAGTCGATTACCTTGTACCAGTTCACCATAAAAAAAAAAAAAACTTCATTTGGGAAATCATTCATTCATCATACGTGTCAGATGACCTCTCCAGCGCATTTGATTACGGAGGAGGAGCATTTTTTTTATACATACATACATAATATTTCATTAAACAAGACCAGTAAGGTACTTTTGTTTAGTTTTATATTATATTTTCTTGTATCCATACAAGAGTTTTCATTCTAGAGTTTCTATTCTGGATTTTGTCACCAAATTCATGATTTATGTTAATAAGGATTGGGTTTTTCTTTTTATAATAAATATAAATAATATAATATTCATTAGTTTTAAACATTTTTGTAGCTGGCGGTGCGTATCACATTCGTGTTCTTGACAATGTACTGATCTTATTCGGAAATTAAGCATATGTCTACTTTCACCATCTTTTATATCATTACAATAACACTTACACACTATTTATTATAGTAGAATAACAAGATTCCTTCAAAATGGTAGTTTAGTCGAAAGCGTTCAGAATCTTTTGCACTCATTAAACCCAGAAAGAAATCACTTGTACGCATACAAGAAAAACATAAACAAGGGTACCTTGTCAAATTTGTTTGGCAAATCATGTATTAGAGAGAAATGGCTGTCCAAAGTCACTAGTATATATATATGTGTGTGTGTGTGTGTGTGTGTGTGTGTGTGTGTGTGTGTGTGTGTGTGTGTGTGTGTGTGTGTGTGTAATTTTTGTTGTTGAATGGATTATTAAGAGAATGAATCTGATTCTAATGGCAGTTAAAGGTTTTTAAATTCTCACTTAGATTGGTCATTGGTAAGAAAGCAATAGAAATGGATAAAAGACATTGTCTCACCTGATTGGAGCTAGATGAAACTGACACAGACGATATAGCTGGATTGTAATCACCAATGGCTCGGTACGATGGACTGGGTAGATCTCCTTTCTTGCGTTGCAGAATTCGGCATACAATAAACATAGTGACTACTATAAAGGCTCCCAATACTCCACATATAACTCCGAAGATCTGTAGAGGCGCCATAATTCATGAGTAAAGCCTAATGCTGTATAAGAAAAGAGATTTTCAAATCAGCTGAGTATCGCCAGATATTTTAACTTAAACAGATTAAATTTTCCATTTTAAATTAACAATCTAAGAGTTTTAAATCGGATTCCAAAGATATATGAAAGATTTCCTAATGCCATATCTGTTCAGAACGTTTCTTTTCTTTAATATGACTGGATTGGCACGTCATGCTAATAACTTGGAAAGATAATGAAGTGGTTTCTTGTTGTCTTTTTCACGGTTTTGAATTCAGAGTTGTCCTTCTCGTAGACTAGTTGCATTTTGCTATTTAATTTGGCTGGTGTTGAACGGAAGATCGGTTTATGTCTTTGTCGAAAAGCAATGATGCGAAATGCAGCCAAAGACTTGGCCGGAATTTGAACTCGGTTCCACATTACAGATGTAAGAACCTTTCCAAAAACCACAAATAGCCGCAAGACCTTTAGAGAATGCCATGTTCATTTCAGTTTCAACGAACTTCCAAAAAAGAAATAAAAACAAAAATTCACAAGTACTATTTCATTTTTGCGTAATTGTCATCTAATGTAAACTGTTCGCGTTGAAATTAATATAAGCGCATTGACGCAACTTGATACTCTAAGAAAATAAAATTTTCTTTTAGTTTAATTTGACAAGAAATCCAATATGTGAGAATAAAGAACATTTCCAATGAATAAAAAACATGTTACTCAGATGATTTTTAGTTAATTCTTATAAAAAATACGATAATCCGTTTCTTATAAAAAAAGACGATAATCCGTTGTTACATTTTTTTTTTGCATAACACGTGGTTGTCTTGAAACGTTTCCCAGATTAAATGCTTTACATCAGTGTATCATATCTAATGTATAGTTCTTTTAGTTATCAAGCCGTCAGATTTCTCTGCTGTTTATAATATACATATTATCCCTCACCTGATAAAACAACTCAGAGTTTCATGCACAACGCAATCAAGTGCTGAGTATAGACTGACCGTTACGTAATTTAATCTTTAATAAAAGCTATCTGTTTATCGCAATGTTAGCACAGTTATATATTATACTGGAATTACAGTGTTTTATTTTTTATATTAAAAAAATATTTAAAAAAAAATATATTTGGCATTTAAAACGGGATTTGTATATATATATATGTAAAAAAGGAATTTTAGAGTTGTGAATATTATTTTTTTATATTAAACATAAAGGTAGATTATTTGTTCTTTTTCAAAACAAAAACAAACTAATAAGGAAATTTAGAGGATTGTGAATTTACTGAGACTTGAATGAAATGTTTCGCATCGTTGGTGAGAGTCAAGAGATGGAGTGACAGCAAATATAAAGGAGGAGTAAATTAAGTAACGGATTTATCCCTAGGATCAGCGGATTTTGAGGCCTTAAAAAAGATCTCCGTAATGGTCTATCCGAAGATGTTAGAAAGACTTGGCATTTGAAGAAATTGTCAACATCATACAAGCAAATGTACATCCAAAAAGAAACAGCTGAGAGGACGAAGTTCCTTGAAATCGTGCAAAACCCGGATGAAACCATTAGACAGTATGTTCACAGGCTAAAAGAAGCATCGAGTAATTGTAAATTCGAAAAGTTAGGTACAGGACTGATGTCTATAGAGGAAGAATTAATACAGTTAAGACGAATTGAAGGACTGTATGACGGCTCGAGGAAACACAAAATTTTGGAACAGCTTCAAGTTCAGAATATGAATATTGAAATGAATTTTGAATTTTTACAGCAACTAGAGTTAATTCAGAGATTTAATTCCCCTAAAAAATCTCCTAAATTTTTGTTCTAAAACAATGAAGATTTTGAACTGAATTATTAAAATCGGAACTGATGAAGCAATTTATTTGATTTATAATTGATTTATTTATAGATGCTTTCCCTTAAATTCATTTTTCTGTCTCTCATCTCTCTCTCTTTCTCTCTTCCTCTCTCTCCCGATTTCTTTAATGAACAAATCATTTGACTGCTATCAGGAATGAAATGAAAATAGGTTATTTGCAAAAGTTATCAACGTTATTTGTTCATTTTATCTTTACTGCTAAATTATCACAAATGTAATTCAACTTGTAAGAATTGCTCATTGCATGAAATTTTTTCAACACAAATCTCAAGAAACACTTCTCAACTTTTAATGGCATAAATTTAATAATCTGTTTTTAAATCTTCAGTTTACTTTGGTCGCCATTGTTCAAACAAAATGGCAAACGAGGAAATAACATTTACCTGAACAGATTGTTTAAATTAAGATTTTTGAAAACTCAACTTCAGTATGCACTACCTCATAGCTACATTATACCGGCATGCCAAAACTAATGGGTTATTTGTATGTAAAAGCATTGATAATTGGCCCCACCGCACCTTGGCATCATGGAAATGCCCAGATGAGTAAGTTTTGCTCTGATATCAGGTTAGTCAATGTGAAATTCGACTGTTAGGCTGTTCATGGAAAGATGACGTGAATTATCGGAGTTTGAACAGAGCATGATAGTAAGTTCTAAATGTATGGAACACTCAATTTCTGTAATAATGGAGACATTTTACATCCCTCGATCTATAGTGATATATTTCTTTTGTTTATTTTTGCTTTGTTTATTAATAATGAAAGAGAGATAATTCTAGACGTGAAAAGATCAAGATTTAATTAGAGAATAAAATTTTTATTGTTCAGGCGGAAGTCTCTAGGCGTATAAAGTTGAAGTAAACTTTACAAAGAACTGGAAACCCAATACTAAAAAAGGGGAAAAAACAGATGAACTTGTAATCTTGTTCCAAATACTGGTTACGAGTGTAAGCAGGACGATAGGCAAACCTATCTACTCCTATTGGTAGAGGAAAAAATAATAATTACTGAATAAAATTTCAGATTTCAGGCGAAGATATCAGAAGTATATAGTTGAAGGAAGAGTAAGCCGAATACTAAAAGGAAAAGGGATACACTTCTACTCGGGAGGAGTATAAACCGGGCCTATCTATTCCTGCTAGGGTAGGAAAAATCATTAATTAATGTAATAATAATTCAGAGTTCAGGCGGAGAAGCTAGTAATATAGAGTTGAAGTCGACTTTAGAAGAAACCGAAAACCTAAACAGGGAAAAATGGTTAAAAAGACCAGCGAGAATTGTGAACCAGACGAGGATAGGCGAACCTATTGGGGCGGAGAGAGAACCAAAATAAGAGAAATAATTAGTGAATCAAAATTCAGTCTGTGTGTTTGTGTATGCGCACGCGTATTTGTGTGTATGTAGGTATGTATGTGTGTGTATATGAGCGTACTTACTTGCGTGTGTTTCCGTGTGCGTGTTTTAAAAGTATTAACTTTTTATATTGTCTATAACACTGAGATGAGTCATTAACAGCTCAAATATTGTTAGGACAATAAAACCCCTTTATCGAATACTTGATGCTATTAACACAACGTTTTAACTCATCCAATATTTATGACAACCCTTCTGCGTTGCAGCTGTTTTCATAAAAATAGGTTTCCCATTGTTTCGCCCGCAACCTGGCGAGAGCTGAAGAATGAATCGGCCGTAATGCTGTGAGGACAACCCCAAGCATTCGAAAAGGGTATTCAATTTTCTGAAAAAATATTTGGATTAACATTTTATTTATTCATAAATATTTTATTTATTATTTATTTTGTTTTTGATGAGTATCGAATTAATCAGAATTAATCATTGATTAACCGATAAACTCAAGCAAACTTTTCACTTTATAAGAATATAAATAAACATTTTTTATGCATTCATAGAATTCTTTAAATCTTTATTATTATTCCTGCTCATTCACTCTATAGATTAATGAGGTATCGACATTGGTAACGTCGAAAGATGTCAGTATTTTGACATATTGGTTGAAATAATTGTTCGTAGATATCGAGTTGAATCTCATGCGCTGATCTGCAATGATGCTATGGAAACGACGACGTCATTCGGAATAAAGACAACAGTAAACAAGTTGGTTGCTTCACATATATGACCATCACTCACTTGCTTCGTGCCAATTTTGTATAATTCAACAAGTTCGCCCCCAAATAATATCTTTCTTTTTATCGGGTGTCTTGAAAATAAAAAAATTCTAATAATAATAATAATAATCATAATAATAATAATAATAATAATAATAATAATAATAATAATTCTGTCTGCTTTCTAAGAAGCAAAAAACAAAAAAAATGATTGAAGAAAATGGTAAAATTACGCACACTCACCAGAGAGATACTGAAAATTTAACTGAAGAAATTCATCTATAAAATAAAAATATAATTTCAAAAGACAAATACTCGCCAATTATTCTTGAGGAATATTAACTGTAAAAAAGTCGAAATGGATGTTGCAATATATTGCAGACAACTTCATCTTACTGATTTGCCTAATATATGCAGAAGAAAAGTTAGCTACTGAGTGAGAACTTTTATATTCTACAATACACATAGACACACAAGGCAATAATGGTGAAAAATGTGGAAGATGAGATCAGAGCAACAATTAAAAAATTACACATAAGTGAAATTATCAAAAATAAAAGAGTAAAAGAGACGGAGAGAGATGCTAAAAAGCAACCCGCGATAGAATCGTCTAAATATAAAAACCGTGCAAAAAGCGACAACACATGTAAAAGATGAAATAAAGTAAAACTTCTTTATGAAACGCACTGACTTCGACTTTAGTAATATAAACTGATTAAAAGGTTTGAAAATAATAAAAGGAATTTTTACAGGCAGTTTCATGGAGAAATAATGGAGCGAGGGACAAGTCTATCATATATGACTAAAAATAATTTTTCTGGATCAGATTCTCAGTGATTAACCGAAGACGAGAATGAAATAAAAATAAGCAGACAGATATAGATCCATACTTATATGTGTGTGTGTGTGTGTGTGTGTGTGTGTGTGTGTGTGTGTGTGTGTGTG